TCAGAACAGATACTATTACATGTTTCTTCCCTTCCATCCAGATCTGCCTTTTAAGCAGTAGTTTATCATGTCTTTTGGCTTAGATGGCACTTTAATTTTCAGATCTTAAAATATGTCTGATTTGTTGTTTGTAACCTTTATGTCATGGCAAGAAGTACTTACACTAAATTATTACATTTTGCTAAATTTCTGGGTATGTTTTGTTTTATGAGACGTGTTCTCACTGCATAGCCCAGGTTAGACACATAGACTCACAATTATCCTGCCTCTGACTCCCCAAGATTGCAATTAAAAACATGCATGTCCATATTGAAGCTCCATGTCCTTTTTAATGTACCTTTGGCAATTAAGCCTCTAGTTTTTCTTAAATTTATTATTTTTATAGCGTCAGGTAAGGATTTCATTTTTGTAGGTGAAAAGGCACTTGTCAAGCAATCATTTATCATGAAATCCATCCTCTGCATACTATTTGGGAATGCAAGCTGAAGTTTCATATGTAGATTAGTGTGTTTCTTAACTTTCTACTTTGTTTCACTAACTGCTCTGTTTATATGCGTATTCCATTTCTTTTGCAGCTATAATGAATTATCACATATTCAGTGGCCTAAAGAATCAAAAATGTATTATCCTCCACTTATGTAGTTCACAAATCCAGCACAAATCTCACTGAACTAACCTAAAAGGTGTAGGGCTGTATTCCAAAGAAAACATTTCTTGCCTACCTTCTTTGGCTCATGGCTTTCATCTTGCATAGTCAAAGCCAACAACATAACATTTCTTTGGCTTTGTTTCTGTCGTCTTTCTTGGACTATTGTCTACATCCCACTTATAAAGACCACTATGTGACATTGGAACCATCAGGATGAGCCAACCTGATCTCACTATTTTAAGGTTTAGCTACCCTTAACTCCACATGCAACTTCAATTCTCTTCAACATTTTCATGGGTTCTGTGAATTAGGATGTGTTTACCTTTGAGGGACCTTTTTTTAACTTAACAAACCACTTGAGCCCCTTGACTATTATTTTAAGCCACATTTCAGTATTTGTTAGGGTAAATATGCCATATTCAGAAAGGGGCAGACCTCCCATGGATGTTAACAAAGCATGGCATATCAACTTCCCTTGGGAAATCCAGTATGGGAAATAGGTTCCAATGTGATCAGGAAGTAAAATAAATGAATAAATTTAATTAATAAAATATAATATTTAAAAATATGCATATTCTTCTTATTTTCAAAAAACTTCTGGACTGTAAACTAGGGGTGTCGCTTAGTTGTGTGCTTGCCTGCTATGCAAAAGGATCTGGGTCTGATGTCCAGCACTGAATAAGGAAATTCTTAGCAATGCTTTATTGTGTGTGCATAATACTAGGGACTGACTCAAAGCCTCGTCAGTACTAGCTAGAGGAACACTCTCCCAGTGAGCTGTAGCTCCAGACCTTTCTGTTTCTGAGAAGATGAAACTTTCTATTTCTGAAACAGATTCTCATTCACTCACCTCTTTGGCTTTAAACTCGCTCTGTGATGCAGGTAGGCCTTGGGCTTGTGTTCTACCCACCTCAGCCTTGCACACAGTTGGAATTGCATGCCTATGCTTCCAGGTCTGGCTTGGCTACTCTTTATATGTTAATTCTGCTATTGTTTAGTTTGTATTGGCAAGCTTAATTTTTTTCAAAAAAAAAATCTGTTCTTACTTTTTTGAACCTTGCTTTCCCATTGGCAAGCTTTAAAATTCAATGACATAAACAAAGAAAATCCCACCTGGATTCTGTTAACAACAGAAATTATACAAAACAAATGCCCAAGGGGTAGAAGTGAAGATCAATTGGTGTGCCTGATATACAGAAGCTACCCCCCCACACACACCAGACTCAGGTCAGATACTCATGTGGATCTTGTGGTTAGTGGCAGTAAGGATCAAAGAACAGTGAAACAAGGAGCGTGTCAATTGTGCATGATGGTCCATGCCTTTTAAACCCAGCACTTGAGTGGCTAAGGAATGAGTATGAAGAACTGAAGATCATCATTGCCTACATGGCAAGTCTGAGAGCAACTGATGCTGCATGAGACCCTGACTCAACTAGATAGTTAGATGGATAGCGGATGGATGGATGGATGGATGGACGGACAGACGGACGGACGAATGGATGGACAGACAGACAGACAGATAAAAAGAGTTAAAAAAGAGAGAGACTGGGTATGGTGGCATATATCTGTAGTCCTATCACTCAGGAGGCTAAAGCAGGAGGATCACTACAACTTCAAAGCTAGCTTGAGCTACAGGATAAAGCTGTTTAAAATACACAGAAGGGAAGGGGGGAGGAAGAGAGGGAGAGGTGTACATATTACCCAGCAGGGATGAGGGTTTCCCTGGAACACAAAGATGGGGTCCCCTTCTGATCTTCCCTGGCCTCTGTCTAACCTAGGACATGTGCAGTGTTGCCAGCTTGGTAGTGAGCAGTTGAATACTCAGGGTTAGGGGAGATATATGAACTGTCAACAAGCCCAGCTGGGGTGATCTTTTTACAAGCCGGAGGTGGGGGACACAGTTGCTTGCCTGCAAGGACAGCCATTCACTACACATTTGAACAACTTGGTGAAGATTATCTGAGAAAATGAAAACCGTGGGACTTTTCTCACTGTTGTGACAAAATCAACTTAAGGTGGGGTTTATCTGAGGGAGACACGGTTGTGCCTGAAGGCATCAGAAGGGCTGATGACATGGCCTCCACAGTCAGGAAGCAGGGAGAGGGACATAAGGTGTTAAACTTTCTCCTTTCCTTTCTGTTCAGTCCGGGGCCTCATCTCATGGGGAGAATGTCCTCTGCACTGAGTGGGTCTGCCTTCTAACCTATCTGGAAAATACCATCATGGACAAATGAAGAGGTGTGTCCCCTAGACGATTCCAAATCCCATCAAGTTGACAAGACCAACTGTGATGGCCTGAAAGAAAATGCCCCCCAAAGGGAGTGGCACTGTTAGGAGGTGTGGCCTTGGAGGAAGTGTGTCACTGTGGGAGCAGGCTTTAAGGTCTCTTTTGCTCAAGCTTCCCTCAGTGTGACTGTCAATCATCTTCCTGTTGCCTGCGAGATGTGGGACTCTCAGCTCCAGCACCACATCTGCCTGCATGCTGCCGTGCTCTTAATCATGATGATAATGGACTGAACCTCTGAAACTGTAAGTGACCCCCAATTAAATGATCTCCTTATAAGAGTTGCTGTGATCATGATGTCTCTTCACAGCAATAGAAACCTTAACTAAAACACCAACCATCACAAGGGGTACATACTATTTATCACAATTGGCCTGTGTATGCATAGAGATTATGGAGGAGGCTTGGGATGTAGCTTTCATAGAGTAGTCACCTAGCAGGTATCAAGCCTTTGGCTTTATTCATAGCACAATAAATAATTTAAAAATATAAATTATCTGGCAGGATAAATGTCACCTAGCATCTGAAAATTTCTTCCATGAATATGCAAATGTATCAGCAATACCATTTTCATCTATTAGATAACCAATAATATCACTCAAGATTATTGACAACGTTGTGGTGAAATCAGCACTTAGATGTTCATGCTAGCTCCTCCTTACTCCCCACTCTTGCTTGGACCTGCTGTGTCCATGCATGCCTCAGGGACTTTGCACTTGCTGTTCTCTCTGCATGGGAGATTCTTTGCCCAAACAATAATGAGACGTACTCTTTTTATCCTCGACCCCTCTTCAGTGAGGCCTCCCAGACCGGCTCCTCACACAGCAACTCCAAGCATCACATATATATTCGTTTACTTCAGTGTTCAAAATGATCCTTTATGGGGCTCCAGAGATGGCAGCAGTTAAGAGCTACTCTGGCAGAGGACCCAGGTTTGGTTCCCAGCATCCACATGGCAACTCACAACCAATCTGTAACTCCATTCCATGGGATCCAATAGCTTCTTCTGGCTCTACAGCCACCACGCACGAATATGGTGCATATAGATAGATGTAGGTAGCCATACACAAAAATAAATATAAATAAATCTTTTTTTAAGTCTAGTCATGGTGCAGTATGCTTTCAACCCCAACACTTGGAAGGCAGAGAGAAAGAGAGAGAGAGGCAAGTGGATCTCTGTAAGTTCCAGGCCACGCTCATCTACACAATAAGTTCCAGGTCAGCAAATACTACATAGTGAGACCCTGTCTAAAAAAACAAACAAAAAATGATGTTTTTCTTCCCTTCCCTTCCCTTCCACTGAGTCAGCATTTAGCTAATTTTTTTTCTGGAAAAGGCAGGTGAGTAAATAACGTAGGCATTGAAGACCATATGGTCTCCTAAGCAACTCCTTAATTCTGCACGAACAACCAGAGTAGTCCACAAACATATGTGCCAACCATATTACAGTAAAAGCGTACAGGCACTGAAATGTGATGTTCCTGCAATTTCCAAGTGTCACAAAAACAGTATTCAATTTTTAACATTTATTTATCCATTTGAGGTGTGTGCTTGTGCACTCATTATGTGCACACGTGCCATGGCACTCATGTGGAGATCAGAGGACAACTTATGGGAGTCAGTATACTCCTTCCAAATCAAACTCACTTTGTTAGTCTTGGTGTGGCAGGCTCATTTACCTGCTGAGCAATCTTGCCAGACCAGAAAATATTATTCTCCCTTTGATTTTTTTTCAATACTTTAAAAATTTGCAAAATGGTTTTAGTTCAAGGGCTACCCGGAAGTAGGAAGCAGACAAATTTAGGGCACTTTCCACTCTTGTACCGAAGCACTGTGATCTGTCTGACACTTAGAACAGTCAGTGCTATATCCCCAAGCTCACAATCACTGTTGAGTAAGTAAATGAACCAGTGATTAGGTTGAGTGGGAGTCACTGGAGGGATGGAGAAAAAGAGTGAAGAGATAAGAAAGAGCACAGTTCTACTCAGCCTCAGCTTACCTCTGCCTTCACTTGGGCAGGTTTCTTCCAATAAGTCTTTGAGAAATATCAGAAGGCTCAGACCAGGGTTGTCATTCAGCATCTTTATTCTTCCCTTTTAGCCCCAGGATAAATAACCCTGACAAACAGCTTCATCCAGGAAGTGAGGACTATGTTGGGTAAGAACCCTTCTAAGGACCTGGCCTCCCCTCCTCTCATGGGGTTGGCACTAGGAGTAAGGCAACCTAGGGGGAAGGACAGTGAACTACTCTACAGCCTCTACTGTCCACATCTCTAACAGCAATGTTACTAGAGACCAGCCACCTTCACATCCTATGCAGGAGGAACTCAGGAAAGTGACTTGGACTCCCTTGTATACATGCCTGTAAACATGGGGACTGAGTGAGGCAGGACAGGACAGGTCAGTGTCCAGACATGCGGCTCTGGCCTGTGGCCCAGTTGGCAAACATAAAGCCCAGACTGATGGCCATGAAGAGGACTCCCAGGATGCCAAAGCACAAAGCCTATGGACAAGAGGAAGAAAATGTGGAGTTGGCCAGGATCACCCACCCAGAGAATGCTCTTGAACCCCTTCCAGGCAAAGCCTCATCCATTCCTGGCCCACCTGTATTCTCCCTGTCCCTCAAAGCAAGCATCTCTTCCACCTTTTCAGAATCTTCTGATATTCCCTCCATCACTTCTTCAGAGTGCCCTGCCTCTCTCCCCATTGGTGCTCCCTCCATCTATCTGAGGAATGCTCTCTCTATAATAGGCCCCTCCCCATTTTGCAGTGATGGAGCCAGACCCTAGAGATTTACAAATGCTAGGAGAGCCTGCCACAACTGAACCATAAGCTCAGCCTACCAGTCCCTTCCAGAGAATTCTCTCTCTTCCCAAATGTTGCTTGTGTTCTATCTACTCTAGCCCTTCCTAAGACAATCATCTTCCTTCTCATGATCTGTCCATCTTCTTGGATGTTCCATCCCCTTCCAACCACAACTTGATAATTCTCCTTTCATTTCTAGCCATCTTGGAGCAAGTGGTCCCTCTTCAGAATGCTATTTCCCCAGCTCTCCTTCCTGAGATACTCACCTGGATCTTGGGCCAGGAAAATAAGGGTTCCACCTCAGAAGGAACAATGCGTAGGTAGAAGACACTGGGAAGGATGAAGATGAGGCTAGGGGCTGAGGTGGACCCTAAAAGAGAGAAAGGGACAGCAATCAACCTAAGTTTTGAAGATAAGACATTCGATAGGGCAAGGGACTGGGGTTAAGGATACTGACCAATAAACCCAAAGATATCTCGGATGGTTGGCACACAAATGACAAGGACATTGACCAAAATTAGCAGAACCAGGGCTATAGCCACATGCCGTGGCCAACTGAAGGCCTTGCTTGGAAAGAGCAGCTGCTGTAGGGCTCGTCGGATCTGCAGCCAAGGAAGGGCAGGACAGGGGTCAAGGCTCACATGCTTTCTTTCTACATGTGATCCCATCTCTGTCTCTACTCTCTCCAAGATTCTTGATTTCCTATCCCACTATCTATGCCTTAAGCCTGCCTGATCAGGGATCCGTGTTATTGGGATACAGACCCCAACAAGCCATGTCTTCCTCTGCCCTATGACTGTCTGTCGTTGTTTCCACCACTATTGAAATCCTGTCTCCTCCTTTGACCGTCTCCACCTCCATGTCTGACCATTTCCTATCCTTTCACCCCATCTGAAAGCCCCGCCTCTCTCACTATCTGACTATCTCTACCACCATGTCCCTCCTTTCTTTGTGTTTTTTGAGATAGGATCTCATATAGCCCAGGCTGGCCTCGAACTCAACATGTAGTTCAGAATGACCTTGAACTCCTAATCGTCCTGCCTCTACCTCCAGAGTGATAGGATTACAGACATGCACCACTATGTACTGTTTAATACAGTGCTGGGCTTCATGTTATGTTAGGAATCACTCTGTCAACTGAGCTACACCCGGTGCCAGGTCCCTTTTTGTCTAACCATCTGTTTTTGCCTTCTCTGTTCACAAGGCCCTTTCTTCTGTGTCTGTTTCTGCTTCCTCCACCTACCCATCTGCTCTTACATCCACCTTCTTTCCAAACATCCATGTTTCTTCCCTCTGTTCATCCATCCATATACCTTCACTCCCCAGGCCCCCCTTCCCCCACTCACAGGGAAAAGCACAACCGGCACAGTGAGGGTTACTGCAAGCAGTACAGCCAGACGCACACAAAGAATGAGCAGGTCCTCCTGGGTGTACATTTCCAGCATCTCTGCCTTCACCGTGCCTAGGTCATGGAGAGGGAACACAAGATGCAGAAACACTAGGCTCACTAGCCCAGAAACCATGACACACATACATGATGATAAACTCTACACACATGATGCTCAGTCTCCCTTTGGAAACTGATGGGCCCCAAGGTTCTGTAGGGAAAAAGCTCAAAGGCTTTTGCCCTAGCCCAAGCTTAGTCTCTACGCCCAACCATGGCCCCAGACACACTCACTGTAGAAGGTAAGGTATCCAAAGGTGGCTGTGAGTCCATACATGACGAACATAGCCCCGATGGACATGTTGGCCACAGCTTGCATCCTGCGCTGGGAGGGCCTAAAGTGTATAGGTCATAGAACTGTCATATCCCTAGCCTTGAACTTGTCCCAGGGTCCTTCCAGAGTCTCCCTTCCCCTGGGTCTGACAATGTTCAGCTGGTACACACTGACGTTCTATCACTGCCTCCCTTGTCTAACTAGCCAAGCTTCCCCTATCTGCCCATCTATATCTCTGCTGATATGACCATCTCTGCCTCTTCCTCCACATGACATCTATACTGCCCATTTCTCTCTGATCCTCCAAAAATCCCAATCCTACTCCCTTCTATTCACCTGTCTCTCTCTCCAGCCATCTGATCATCCTTGCTTCTTCGACCTCGTCTTTGCAGACCATCTCACCTCTTCCATCTACTCATCTTACCTCTGCCTCCCAACTCTGTCCATTCACATTTGTTCTGAGCATTTAAAGAGTGGACAACTTAAATCCAATCAGTAAATAGTAACTTCTCTGTGTCCCTGGGGTTTCATAAGCACGCAAAATCCCTCCCTTGTCACAGCCAGCCACCCTCAAGATACCATACCAGGGCTGCTATGGAGACTGCCAGACATTATGGCCACTGCTCCTTCTAGATGACCAGTCACAATGCCCCCTCTACTCTCTACTAACATGTGCCTCTCTACTCACCGGCATAGCTCTGTGTAGATGGGCAGCACCTCAGGGTGGCAGACAAAGGCAAAAGCCATGATAGGGACTGTGTAAGACATCTGGGGAATGGTTCATGAACATAAAATTAGAAGCCCTAGGGTAGTGGGGCTCCCCCTTCTCCCCATTCCCTCCAAAGTAGGGCACACGACACAGTCCCTGAAGCCCAGTACTCTGATAAAAATGAAATGTTGGGACAGGACACGAGGGCCCACTGTGGTAAAAGCTCCTACGTGCCTGCATGCCTACCTGTGAGTCAACTGTGAACAGCTTGGCCTCGCAGCTGCTGTTAAACCCCTGGACAGGAGGCTGTTTACCCTCCACTGCTGTGTCATTGTGGCTCACATCACAGCCAAGCTGAAACTTCTTATAGATGACCTGGGTATCCCAAGTAAGGAAGCTTTGCCTCAGTGTCTCAAACTCTAGCCCCACTCCGCCCCTGCGACTCCATGCCCTCTCTGACTTACCGAAACGAGGAAAAACATCATGCAGGTCAGAGAGAGGCTGCTTGTGTACCCCAAGTAGCCTACAGGGAGTAATAACAGAGCCTCAAAAATCAAAGAACCCAGTACACCAAACACTAAAGCATCCTTCCAATAAGCTTTCATTTCCACCTGAACCAGCCTCCTTTTATCGAAAACTCCTACTAATCTGTTAAAACCCCAATCAAAACAAGCCCTTCCCACCCTCTCAGCATTCCATAACTCTTGAAAATGTCTTTTTTTTTTCTTTTTCTTTTCTTTTTCAGGCTGGCAACATAGTTCCGTTGTATTGCACTTGCCTAGTCTGTGTGCAGCCCTGGGTTCAGTCTCCAGAACCAAAGTAAAAATAAAATAAAATGGGGCTTTTTCTACTTGGTTCCCATGCTCTAACCCTACCACCCAACGACCAACCCAGGAAGCCTCCTTACCCAGGTGTTTCATGAGAGCCAGAGGCAAGATGATTAACATGCTGACCAGGATGATGAGGAGGTTTCCCTTCAAGAACCAGTCCCTGGGTAGAGAAGAAGATCCCAGCACTTACATCAGATGGCTCACAAATGCCTCAATTTCACTTCCTGAATTTCAGTTCTGACTTTTACTTCTGGCCTCTGGGGCCATTGTATGTATGTGGTGCACATGCATACATGCAGACAAATACAGAAACTAAATAAATGTATTCTTGTTTTTCAAGACAGGGTTTCTTTGTGTAGAAGTAACTTTTTTTTTAAGTTGGGGCTGAGGAGATAACTCAGTTGGTAAAGGGCTTGCTATGCAAACGTGAAAACTGCATCTGGATCCACAGCATGCATCAAAATCCCTAAGTGCAGCCATGCACATCTGTAATCCCATCACTGTGGAGGTGGGCACAGGAGGATTCTGTGGGCTCCCTGGCACACTGGTATAGCCTAATTGGTGAGCTTCAGGTTCAGTGAGTGACTTTGTCTCAAAAAAAAAATAAGATAAAGAGAGATAGAAGAGACACCTGACACCAATTCTGACCTGTACACACATATCCACACACATGCACATACACAAGAACACAAACATACAACACATACACACTTTATTGAGTGTCTGCTGTGTTCTAGGCACTCACATATTTTAACAGAGTAAATCTGGGTTAAATACACAGTGGGACTTGATTATAATTGATATGACAGGGGGATATCTTTCACTGGTAAAGGTACTTGCCTAGCATGTACAAAGGGCCCAGGTTTGAACCCCCACAAGGTAGAGAAAAAAAGAAAACTTGGACATACCTAGTCATATCTGGATGGTCTCAGATTCAAACCGACCATTTCACAAGATACATGCAGGTAATAACAACCAAACTCTTAGTTAAAACTGTCAGACAGGCTCATAAAACTATCCAGGAGTTTAACTGACAAAACCATACATGCACACCAAATCCCACAGGAATAAGAGTGGAGTAAGAGCTAGCCCCTAAACATCCAAGTCTGTATGCCAAAATATACAGAGGCACTGGGCAAGTGATGCACACCTGAAATCCCAGCCCTTGAGACGCCAAGGCAAATTCCAGGCCAGCCTGGGCTACAGAACAAAACCCTGCCTAAAAAGGGTATGTAGAAAACCAGACATGGTGGCTCATGCCTTTAATCCCAGGCAGATCGCTGTGAGTTTAAGGCCAGCCTGGTCTACATGGTGAGTTCCAGGATAGCCAAGATTACATAGAGACCCTGTCTCAAAACAAAAACAAAAGGTACACAGAGGGAGTTAGGAAGGGGGTGTGGTTCAGTGACTGAGCATTTGCCTGGCACGAAGAGGCCTTGAGTTCTATCCACATTTTAAAAAATACAAATAGAAACAGAAAGATGTATGCAAATGAAGACAAGTACCACTATGTGCACAAATAAACACACCAGGAATCTCACTGTGTATGGATAGAAAATAACTGAGAGGCTGTGCCAGTAGTAAGAGTCTGGATTCTAACAGTCTGAACATACACATGGTGGCAATCACAATCAAGAGGACATCCACAGTCACAATGCCCTGAGAGCACACACACAGCCTGAGAGGATCTGCCACACAATAATGACCAAAGTAAACAGGGAGATGGAGTTGACAGAGCGCGCAGAGTTGACACGATACACAGACCACTAGAGTCAGCAATCACACATTTAGAGCTAGATAGAGCCCAACAGCCTGATGGACCCAGAATCAGCTAAACAGGGAAAATGAGAGTAGCCAAATGTCAAACACATATGGTTGGGATCAATTGCAGCATACAGGACCCAGCTGTCATCCATCACATGGCTGGCCAGAGAGAATTGGCCAGTACAACAGTCACTGAGTCAAATCCAGAGCCCACACCAACTGGATCTGTACAGCCACACACATAGGGTCAGCCTCAGCAACACACCAGGCATACAGAGATAGATGCTAGCCAGAATCAGCCAGGAGAAGTCTCAAAATTAGCACATGGTCTACCGCAGTCCTGTGGTGAGCTATAGTCACATGCAATATCGAATCATAATACACAGGAATCTTAGTCGGTCTCAGTTAACCTGCAGTAGTCTCAAAACAGAGCACCTGGGAGCCAGGTGGACACAGAGTTACAGATGAATGCTGGAACTCACAAGGAGAGCCCAGGTCAGCCAGGGAAGTGTTGTGTACTCACCCCTCCGGGTCCATGTGCAGGAAGGTGCCAATAACCAGAGGGAGTTCCGATTTGATGATGAACAGGTAACTGGACATAGCTGGTGCAGATGGAGAACATTTAGTTAAGAGTCCCCCTCCCCTAACCCACCCTGGGAAAAGCCCACCTCACTGCACCCTCTTCCCACTAGCTAACCCTCCCCAAGTTCTCACCCCCAACATTGTGCAGACAGATGATGACGGCCACCACGACTTTCCCAGCCGGCCCAAATGCCCTCTGTCCCAGCTGCTCATAGGCTCGAATGCCTGAGAAGGGGGAGGCAAGAAAGAGCAGACTGTGAGTTTAGGACAGCCAGGCTAGGTAGGAGAAGTGTAATTCAGCTGTGACTAATAGAGGCTAGAGTTGAGGGCTGGGCAGTTTAGGGTAGAATTTGTAAGTAGAATCCAGGAGGTGGTGTCTGAGGCTAGGGAGGCATTAAAGGCTGAAGGTGCGGTGTTGGGGTTTTGGAGATAGACTGAACTGAGAGCGTGGAGGGAGAGAATCCTGGGACTGTGAGAATCAGAGCTTTGAGGACTTCAGAGCTGGTTTCCAGATTAAGAGGACCCGAAGACTGGGGGATGGAAATTAGACTGTGTTAGATGGGGAAGGTCCGATGGCCAGACTAAGGATGGGTACTGGATATTGGGAGGTGATGATCTAGGAGCCCAGATAAAGACTGAGGCTTGGAGTTGGATATGGAATCTGTTATACAGAGAGTTGAGTGTGGGAACCTGGGTGCTGAGTTTGGGGTCTGAGGTCTCAGTGGTTATGTCCAGAGTCAGATTTCCGTTGCAATCAGGCATCTAGGAAGTAGATGTGGGTCTGGAGCTCAAGGTCTGAGTTGGGTTCTGGATTGGAATCTTGAGTCTGAGGTCCACAGAGGATGAGATGCAAATGGGAACCTAGGATGGGAGTCTCACCTACAACACTGGCACAGGTCAGCAGGAGGTGGATCGAGTAAGAGGACAAGAGGGCAATGCACAGCAGCAGGGCCCTGCAATAGGTGGCATAGTTGAGACATGGCCCAGGCCTCCCATTTAGCCCTCCACACCATTGACCATCCCCCCAAAGGCTACCTATAGACTCACAGAAAGAAGATGACTCCCGTGTGGGCCATGGCATAAGCCAGCCCCAGGATGCCACTCCCCATGATGGCGTTGCTGAGGTTGAACACTGACATTCCGAATGATGTCTTTCCCTCAAACTGTTGGCAAGGGGCAAATCCAGCACACATTGGGGAGAGGGAAAATAGGACAGGGGACAAGAGCTGGAGCCAGGAAAGGGCAAGAAGGTTAAGGCAACTGGGGAGGAGAGACATCCAGGAGGGGTGATGGGAAGCAAGAAGAAGCTGAAAGAGAAAGAGAGTTAATGGGAAGAAACCGGAAAAGGAGCTTAGAAAAGGAAAACTAGGAGAAAGTTTGGAGAGAGCAGCTGGAAGTGCAAGAGGGCTGCTGAGAAGTATCTGGAGATAAGAAACAGTAGAAGAGGGAGGACAGTTAGGGGGCACAAAGCATAAGGGAATATTTAGGGAGAACAGTCAGTAGGTAGGGGCAATAGTTTGGAAGGGAGAAACTAGGCAGCAGCGAGCGCTGGCGAGCGCGGAAGGACTTGGGGAAAGGGAGTATCTGGAGATGGCAGCGACTAAGGAGCTAATAGCTGGGCCAGGGAGATAGCTAGGCAGGGGAGCAGCTAGGGAGGAGAGGAGTTGGGATTAGATAGGGGAGGTGAGACTTGAACAGGTCCTGTGGGCTCACTTACATCCATGAACTGGACAGGTTTCCTCCCAGGAACAGTGCCATGGGTGTGCAGGAAGCCCTCACGTTCCTGACTGTAGCTGGATAGGGCAGGAAAACAGAAGCTCATAAAAAGGTAACCCTGACCTCTCCCCACAAGCCTGCCTCCTTGGAGCCCCCAACTCACCCCGCAGCAGCACCCGCAGAGAGGGCTCCGTTCATCTTTGGATCCTGCATTTCCATCCTGCAGGCAAAGAAACGGGGTAGGAGGGTCAGGAGAGGAGCAAAGGGACTAGAAAGTGAGGAAGGGGACAGGAGACCGACAGATGTAAAAGGACAGCAAGTGGCCAGAGAGACAAACCGGAACAGAGAGGAATGAAGGGCAGAGGAGAAAATGGAGAGTTGAGAAAGGAGAGAGAGGGAGAAAGAGAGATGAAGATCAGGGGAGGAGAAACGAAAACAGCCTCTCAGGGAGACCCAGAGAAAAGAAGGCAAAGAGAGATAAATAGAGGGAGGGAGAGACACAGAAAGATACAGAGAGACCCACCCCACAGCACATGAAATGGCCATTTGGAGTAGGAAATAGACTTTCCTCCCACACGGCAGACTCTGTCTCTCACGCTGTCCGCCTTTTTCTGTCTCTTTCTGTCCCTGATCTCCCGCCCCCACCTCCTGGCTGGCTCTTAGCAGGGACACGTGTCACCTGTCTGCCCCACCCCTCCTAGCGACGCCCTGCCCCCCCCCAGCTTAGAGACCCCAGCCCCAAAGCTGCAAACTGCTTTAATTCCAATTCTGAATATCTTCACCAGAGACCGGAGCAAATTGAAGTGCCCCTCTTCCTGGGACAGAACTGACCGGTATGCAGTATGCGAGTGTGGCTGGAGCGCTTTCAATCCTCAGGACTACAAAGAAAAAAAAAAAAAAACCTCTGACCCAGGGACTCCCGCTGAACTTCTCTTCTAGGTTCTAGGGTCTAGGGCCCCCTATCAATTCTTAAACTGTCCTCTCCTGGGAGAAATATTTTAGGAGACACTTCCAGACTTGAAACACTTTCTGGGCTTGGGGTGCCTCAAAAACCAGTAAGACTTTGAACATTACTTCTCCGATAATGAGCTGCCAGCAGGATCCAAGGCCCCCTCCAAGGTCCTCACATGTTTTGCAGGGTGAGAGAGAGTGTCTTTGCAATTTCCATCCTAACCTGGAAACTCTGTCTTTTTTTAATTCGCATCTATAAATTGTACAGAATAGTGGCTTTCATTATGACATTTCATATACGTATGAAATATGCTTTGATGGTCTTCATTCCCCTATTACCATATCCTGCTCTGCTTCCCACTGTTTTCCTTCCTCTACCTCCAAGCCCTCCTTCTGCTTTCATGTATTATCTCTACTGTTTATTCTTGTTACATGTATACATACATATATAACTACAACCTGCTGAGTCTCTTTAGTGTTGCTTGAATGTATATGATTTTAGGACTGAGCACTGGCATTGCATAACCAATTGGGGAGCTCATCCCTGAGGACGAGTGGCTGCCCCTCTTTCAGTAGTCATTAATTGACTATTGCAATTATGACTCCATCGACAAGTGGGGTCTTCAGAGATTGTCCCCATCTATAGGAACTGGTATCATTGTATAGGCAACCATACTGTTGAGATTGTATCGGTGTGGCTTCCTTGCTATCATCTCCCAGCTAGCACCCAGAGCCTCTTGTTCTTAGCCCCTTTCTGGCCTGTCTTCTATGACCTTCTCCAGGCCTTAGATGTAGAGGCTGTGTTGTGTGTGTATCAATTGGAAATGGTCACACCACGGTCAGTTTCTGGTTCTCTGCATTTTGGCCAGTTATGGCTTTCAACAATATTCTCCCTCTGCAACAAAAAGAGGCTTCTTTGACAAAGGGTGGGAGTTGGTTACACTTGCCTGGGGTTATAAGGATAAGTATTTAGAATGCAAATATAAATTAGACTGTTTTCAGAAATGGGAAGTAGTCATTCTCCTCTAGGTCCCATGACCTTACTAAGATAAGTTGGCTAGGTTTACAGTGCCAGGCTGGAATTCTCTCCTGTTGACAAGGCCTTAAGTGCCCCTGTCGCACCTTTGGATGTAGCTTGCTGTGCTGGTCATTGTGTTTCACACTCATCACAGATGAGTAGGACTACTCATTGTTTCCCTCCCAGGGCAGCTTGCACAGCACCTTCCAGTACTCCTCAGTGAGGAGACTTCCAGGTCAGTTCTGGTTCAATTCCTCCAAGTCCTGTGTCCAAAGTGTGTGGTGTCTTCAGCAGTAGGGATTTACCTTCAAATTCTGGGAGGCAGCCAAGGACAATGGTAATAAGCCTATATTGTTTTAGCGGTCTCTTGGGCTTTCCTGAGCAATGACTTCCAAGGAGGCTTCTCGTGTCTGGAACTGAGGACTTTGTTAGACAGACTATGTCTCTTATAAGGAGCATTATCACCCCTAATGGTGTAACTTCATTTAAATTTGTGTGTGTGTGCGCGTACGCACATATTTGTGTGCATTTTTATATGTATGTGTGCTATCGATCATACATATTTTTTCTGTTTTGTTTTTCAAGACAAGAGTTTCACTGTGTAGCACCTCTCTGTCCTAGGACTGACTCTGTAGACCAGGCTGGCCTCAAACTCAGAGACATTCGCCTGCCTTTACCTCCCAAGTGCTGGGATTAAAGGCGTGTGCCACCACTGCAAGTGTACCACATGTAATTTTAGGTAACTATAAAATAACAATTCCCTGTAGCTTTTTCAAACATATTTAGTTTCTATTTCTACTTAGAATTGCAATGAATAGTGAAGGATTGCAATGAACAGTAAGGTGAGTGAAAAAGCCCACAGAATGGGTGAGGATCTTTGCCAACTGTACGAGAGTACACAAGCCAGGCAGTGGTGGTGTATGCCTTTGATCCCAGCACTCAGGAGGCAGAGGCAGGTGGATCTCTGTGAGTTCGAGGCCAGCCTGGTCTACAGAGTGAGTTCCAGGACAGTCAGAGCTACACAGAGAAACCAAAGAAAAACAAAACCAAAAAAGAGTACACGAATACCTGAGTAAGATAGACATGACTAAGATACCGAGTCCTTTGCATATGCCAAGGAGTGGTATAGCTGGATCACATGATAGATTTCTTCTTAGCTCTTTGAGAATTCAAAGATTCTGATTTCCACCAATCCCACCAACATTGAATAAGGGAAATTCTCTCTCTCTCTCTCTCTCTCTCTCTCTCTCTCTCTCTCTCTCTCTCTCTCTCTCTGTGTGTGTGTGTGTGTGTGTGTGTGTGTGTGTGTGTGTGTGTGTTCTGCTCTTTCTTTCATTTTCTTCTTATTTTTTAACACAGGGTTTATCTGTGTAGCTTTGGAGCCTGTCCTGGAACTCACTTTGTACACCAGACTGGCCTCAAACTCACAGAGATCTGCCTGTCTCTACCTCCCAAGTGCCACCATGACTACCATCTTAGCCCATTTTTTTAATTGGGTCACTTGTTTTCTTGACTATCTGTTTTTTGAGTTCTCTATATATTCTGGTGTTTGGGGTTTTTTGTTTTGTTTTTATTTGTTTTGATTTGGTTTGGTTTTGGTTTTGGTTTTTTCAAGATATGGTTTCTCTGTGTAGCTTTGGAGTCTGCCCTGAAACTTGCTCTGTAGACCAAGCTGACCTCGAACTCACAGAGATCTGCCTGCCTCTGCCTCCCGAGTGCTGGGATTAAAGGTGTGCACTGCCACCACCCAGCCTCTCTATATATTCTGGATATCAATCCTCTATCAGCTGTATAGCTGGCATTCTTTTTAGTTTGATGAGGTCCCACTTGTCAATTGTTGGCATTAATTCCTTGGCAAATGGAGTCCTATTCAGAAAGTTCTCTCCTACACCTCTATCCTATAGCATACTGCCTGTTTTCTTCTAGCAGTTCCAGTGTTTCAGGTTTCACATTTAGGTCTTTGTTCCATTGGGAGTTAATTTTTCTTCGGAGTGATAGATATGGATCTAATTTCGTTCTTCTACATGAGGGTATCCAGTTTTGCAAGCACCATTTGTTGATGTTGTCTTTTCTCCAATGTGACTTTTTGGCATCTTTGTCAAATATCAGATGGCTGTGGTTAATGTACACTAATGTTTGGGTGTTCTAGTTTGTTCCTCTAGTCTCTGTGTTTTTGTGCCAATACCATGCTGTTTTATATGTTTTAATTTTCTTGCTGTTGCTGTGACAAATGCCACGACCAAAAGCAACTTAGAACTCTCAGGTCACATTCCATCATGAAGAGAAGTCAGGGCAAGAACTCAAGACAGAAATCTGGAGGTAGGAGCTGAAGCAGAGGCCATAGAGAAATGCTGCTTACTGGTTTGCTCCTCATGGATTGTTCAGCTTGTTCCTTTGTACAATCCAAAACCACCTGCTCTGTGATGGTACCACTCACAGTGAGATGGAGCCTCCCACACCAATCATTAATTGAGAAAATGCCCTCATAGTTTTGTCTATTAGCCAGTATTATGCAGGCACTTTCTCTTTCTAACTGACTCTACATTGTGTCAAGATGACAAAAAATAAATAAAATAAAATAAAATAACCAACTCACTATAGTGCCATGATACACTTTGAGAACTGAAAAGGCAATCCCTCCAGCTCTCCTTGTTCAGAAATGCTTTGACTATCTAGTGTCTTTGGGTTTGCATAAGAATTTTAGGTTTTTTGTTTTGTTTTGTTTTTCTATTTCTGTGAAGAATGTTGTGGGGGATTTAATTGGGGTTGCATTGAATCTGTAAGCCACTTTTGGTAAAATGAATATTTTCACAATGGTAATTCTAAGGCTGGAAAGTGGTGGCTCTCCTGTTTAATCCCGGCACTTGCAGCACTTGGGAGGAAGAGGCAGGCAGATCTCTGTGAGTTCAAGGCCAGCCTGATCTACAGAGTGAGTTCCAGGACAGCGTCAAAGAAACCCTGTCTCAAAAAGCAAAAACAAAAAGCAAACAAAACAAAACAAAAAACCACCACAATTGTAATTCTAGTAGTCTATGAGCATGGGAGGTCGTTACATTTTCTAGTGCCTTCCTCAATCTCTTTCTTCAGAAATTGAAAGTTTTCATTATAGATGTTTTTCACTTCTTTGGTTATGTTTATTCTTAGATATTTTTAGACTGTAATAAATTGGACTGGGCCTATGATCTTATCTATCAGCATATTTGTTATTGATGTATAGAAAGGCTACTACTAATTTTTAAGTTGATTTTATTTCCTGGAACTTTGCTGAAATTGTTAATAATATTTAGATGTTTTCTGGTGGAATTTTTGGAATCGCTTATGTATAAAATCATATCATCTGCAAATAAAGATAATTTGACTTCTTTTCCTATTTGCATCCCTTTGAGTCCCTTCTCTTGTCTTATTACTCCAGGTAGTTCTTCAAACATTATATTGAAAAGGAGTAGGGATAGTGAACAGCCCTGTCCTCTTCCTTAATGGGATTGCTTTAAGTTTTTCTCCATTTATGATGATGTTAGCTGTGGGTTTGTCATATGTAGCCTTATTGTGTTGAGGTATGTTCCCTCCAGTCCTGCTCTCTCTGGGGCTTATCATAAAGATATGTTGGGTTTTGCCAAAGTTTTTTTTTTTCTGCATCTGTTAAAATTATCATGTTTTGTTGTCGTTGTTTTGTTTAGTTTTGTTTTTTGTTTGGTTTGGTT